GTATTATAATATATTAACTGTTTTTTTTCATGGGGACATTTATTTGATGGAATATTTATTAATACTTTTTTAATTACATTATTTATTTAATTATTTATTTGTTGATTGTATTTTGAATGAACCAGCTCTCCGTATTCTACTTCATGTTTTCAAATTCAGAATAAAGGCAGAAAATTGAGTTTGTATTGACTCGTACTCACCAGAGCGGTCTCTGGGGCCAACAGTTTGCAGTCCTCCCTGCGTGCCTCCTCTTTCTCCAGCAGCAGCTCAGAGCTCGGGCCTCCGGGGGTCATAGCTGAGCCAGGGGCTCGAGGCCCCGTGTCCCCACGATGCTTTTTGGTGATGTGGGCCTCAGGGCCGTGTACCGTCTTTACATGTTTCCGTAGAGAGCTCGGGTCTGTGTATCGCTTAGTGCAACCGGGTATTTTACAAACATAAGGTTTCTGTAAAAGAGCAGACGTCACACTCCATCCTTTGTATGTAACATTTGATTGTACTCAACGTAAATTGGTGTGCGAAACATTACCTCATTGGAATGAGTCCGGTTCTGATGTTTAGCTCTGTCCGAAGCGTTGGAGAAGGCTTTGTTGCAGCCCTCGTGCTCACACACGTACGGTTTCTCGCCGGTGTGAGAGCGTAGGTGGGTTTTTAAGTTCTCCAGGCGAGAGTAGGCCTTATTACAGCCTTCAAACTGAAACAGAAATCATTCAAAATAATTCAACAAATGCACCCAAGCTGCAGGGAAAAACCAACACCACAGAAATAATTAGATTATCCTGTAATTGTTCTATCAGCTGAAGTTATTGAAATTCTATGATTTGGTTGATTATGGTGTATTATCAGTCATGTATAGGGCTCATAAAAACACATTACCTTCAAACGTCCAATTACATTTTGTTAAAAGAGAGAGCTGTTATAATCTCAAGGGGACCGAGATGTTTGTTAAACCCAAATTTAGAACGTTTGAAGGAACAGAGTACTTCAGTCCAGGGTATAAGATTATGGAATAATCTGGAGGATGATGTTAAAAATGTCAGATAAATGTGCATATTTAAGAGAATGATAAATTTGTTGGAGAAATATGTAAATGTATAATGTATAGGGCTGGGTAAAAAAATTGATTTTATCGATCTTGGATCTATTTCATTGAAATTTGGGAAAATCGATTCACATGACATGAGATCGATTCTTCCCCATGGTGTCTTGTACGTGCGTCTGAGGCACGTTTCTATATTTTGTCACTCCTGGCTTGCCGTATATTTACATCCGGTTGACATTCAGTGCTAACATTTTATTTCGATAAAAATTTGCCTGGATCAAAACAAAAGAAACTAAGGAATCACTGACATTACCAGCCGACTCTCAGCAGAACTTAAAGACAACAGAAACCATGGTGACTTTTGTTAGCAAAGATTAGCGCTCCTACGCAGTAGCGAAAACGAAGCGGGGCTTGATGAGCGGCTCGGCACTCGAACCAAACTACGGTATGTAAACATCTGACTGAAACTGTTCTCCACCGGCATGTTTAAATGTGTTAAAGACGATATTCTAACAAAATCATTTAGTTTTGTTACCAATATTATTATTTTTAAACTTTAAGAAACGTCAATGAAATCCACAGTGATGACATTTTGTAGTTGTTTTAATAAGTTATATGTATTAAGTTTAAATAATATTTATTGAACATAACAACAGAAGGTAACAGAAACATTACAAATATACAGTTTTAAGACAAGATAAGATAAGATAAGATAAGATAAGATAAGATAAGATAAGGTAAGGTAAGGTAAGGTAAGATAAGATAAGATAAGATAAACCTTCATTGTACAGAGCACAATACACTCAAAAGGAATGGGCAGAAGTATATTTATGTTAGCCCACCTCTTCTCCTGCAACCTTATTCCCATCACTTCTTATTTATCAAAAATAATTATTAATTACTTTAAAATGAATGCATCCAACAACACTGCCACCTGCAATTCCTTTTTACTTTAAAACTTTTCTACTTGTGACAGTTTTCTTTCGATGAAGCAGTTTAATTTAAAAGTTTGTCCTTAAAACCTGTTGTTTATGTTGAAGAGAAAAAAAAACGGTGTCAATATCAATAAACATTTTCACTGAATAGAATCGAAATCTCATTGATTTAGAAAATTGGCCAAGATAACCAGCCCTTATAATGTATGAACTGTTGCTCAAGGAGTTAAACCTTTATTATTTTTCTTTTTTTCTTTTTGTAATCTGAGGATTATTTTTGATTGAA